GTTTCCATTTCATTAATTATAATCTTTCTATTCATATTTTCTGCTTCTTCCTGATTGAGTTTTGGAAGATTGTATATTTCTAGGAATTAAACCATTTTATCCATATTGTCCAATTTGTTGACATATTTTCTTATAATCCTTGTATTTCTTTGGTGTTGTTACTTCTCTTTCATTTCTGTTTTTATTTAATTGAGTCCTCTCTCTTTTTCTCTTGATGAGTCTGGTTAAGGTTTGTCAGTCTTGTCTTTTCAAAGAACCAGCTCTTGGTTTCATCAATCTTTTGTATTGTAGTTTGTTTGTTTTTTTAATGCTCTATTTTGTTTATTTCTGCTCTGATCTTTATAGTCTTTCTCCTACTCACTTTGGGCTTTGTTTGTTGTTCTTTTTCTAGTTCCTTTTAAGTTGGATTGTTTATTTGAGATTTTCTTTTTTTGTTTCTTAAGATAGGCCTATAATGCTATAAATTTCCCTCTTAGAACTGCTTTTGCTGTGTCCCACTCATTTTATTGCTTCTTACACTCTTTACAAAGAATAAAGTTGTTCCTTCTTTGGGCCTCTTACTAGAACACTGTTATATCAAATTATTTTCAATATATTTTTCTTCCTCTTCTCTCTCCCTAATATCACTGCAAAGTGAATGACTGTGCATACCTTTTACTCAGAAGAGATATTGATTAAATACTAGCCAAATAAATAAACATAATATTGATGACTACCACATGAGCCAATCTGGAAAACATTAATATTACTTTATATCTTTTAATTATCCAGAAAACTTCCAATGAGCACTATTAGATTATGGTTCCTTTCACACTTTTCATGACACCAGTGCCATTTCATTTTCAAGTAAAAGGTATTGATAAGAATTCTTTAGGTCTAGCACCCAAAGCAGGGATTCTCAACTCTAGCTACATATTAGAGCCATCTAAAGAGCTTTAAAGAAATACCAGTGTATAGGCCCTATTCTCTGAAATCCATATATAACTGGCATAGGTGGGACCCTGACACTTTTTAAAAATCTTATCTCAGGATTAGATGTTCTGATCTAAAAGAAGGTAAACATATTCCTCATATACTAAATTGAATCAATAAGTTTTTAAGAGCTGTCTTGAACTAAAAACTACATAATACTATTTCAATTGAAAATGTTTAAAATTCCAGGCAACTAAATTAACCTTGACACTTAAAGTTCATGGGGAAAAGAATACCATTGATGCCAATTAAAATGATCAAAATATAGCAAAGTATATACTATAATTAGTCATTGTCCAGTGTTCAGAGAAAGATAAATGCAGAAAATAACAGAAGCTAAAAAAAGGGAAAGGAATTAGGGAAATAACATGTATATAAGAAAGTTGCAACTAACAAAAACAGAAAAAGTGTATTGCAAAGGAGTAGAAAATAGCCCTGCATAGGCATTCAATAAGTTTTCATTTCCTTCCCTGAATTATTATTCCTCCCATTCCAGATAAAACATGGAGGCTCTGAAAAGCTCAAGTTCGAAAGCCAAATGAAGCACAGAATCAGATTCAGGCTTGTATGATTTTAAAGTCCACACCCTATCCATCATATTACACTGCTTCACAGCAAAACAGGAAAGGACAGAGAGAACAAATTCAAGGGCATTAAATGGCTCAATATACTAGAAAATTAGAGGAGTTCACTGAAGGCTTATAAACCTGGAAATAAGGTTGGGGCAAAAATGTGATTCCAGAAGATTATTAGGGTGTAAACAAGATGGATTAAGAGAGAGGTTAGTAGGCTCCAGGAAGCCGCTTCTCCAGCCACCTACAAGAGGGAGCTTTGCCAATGACTGTAAATCCAAATAAATACCCAACTTTCTTTTCTTTTCTTTTATATGTATTTTATTGATTTTGTACAGAGAGGAAGGGAGAGAGATACAGAGTTAGAAACATCGATGAGAGAGCGTCATCGATCAGCTGCCTCTTGCACACCCCCTACTGGGGATATGCCTGCAACCAAGATACATGCCCTTGACTGGAATCAAACCCGGGACCCCTGAGTCCCCAAGCCGACGCTCTATCCATTGAGCCAAACCGGTCCCGGCTAAATACCCAACTTTCTAAACTGCCTGTTGCCAATAGAAGCCCTAGAATGAACCCCAGAATTAAGGGGGAGAGGGGGTGGTATTTAAAAAAAGAAAAGCCAAAACCGGTTTGGCTCAGTAGATAGAGCATCAGCCTGTGGACTGAAGGGTCCCGGGTTCAATTCCAGTCAAGGGTATGTACCTTGGCTGTGGGCACATCCCCAGTAGGGGGTATTCAAGAGGCAGTTGATCGATGATTCTCTCTCACTGATGTTTCTAACTCTCTATCCCTCTCTCTTCCTCTCTGTAAAAAATCAATAAAGTATATTTAAAAAAAAAAGGGGGGGGGCGGAGGGGGTGCATAGAGAAAAGGAAACCACTGACTGCTTCAAAACGAATCATGTGACTTAGAACTATGAAAGTACTGCATTCTCTACTAGTTTCACAAGTTACTTGACTTTTCAATGCTTTAAGGATGTCTTTTATAAGACCCACCATTCTGTATTTAAAGACTTATAACAGGAGTCTTGATTGTCCATTGCAGTTATCAAATAACTAAAATTACATAAGTTAGACAAATACCAGATGTTTGCTTATATATAACTAGAGGCCCAGTGCATAAAATTCATGCGGGGGGGGGGGGGGGTTGTCCCTCAACCCTGCCTGCACCCTCTCCAATCTAGGACCCCTCAGGAGTTGTCTGACTGCCAGTTTAGGCAGTTGGACATTCCTCTCACAATCCAGGACCACTGGCTCCTAACCACTCCCCTGCCTGCCTGCCTGCCTGCCTGCCTAATGGCCCTAACTGCTCCTCTGCCTGCCTGATTTCCCCTAAATGCCTCTGCCTGCCTGCCTGCCTGCCTGCCTGGTAGCCCCTAACGGCCTTCCCCTGCCAATCTGGTCGCCCCCAACATGCATATAGCTGGGGTCCCTCAGCCAACCTGTGCCCTCTCGCAAACTGGGAGCCTCAGGGGATGTCCTCAGGGGAGCAGGCCTAAGCCAGCAGTCAAGACATCCTTAGCTCTGCTACAGAGGCAGGAGAGGCTCCCGCCACCGCTGCTGCACTTCTGGCTGAATGGCACTCCCCTGTGGGAGCACACTGACCACCAGGGGGCAGCTCCTGAATTGAGCCTCTGCCCCCTGATATTCAATGTGCTTGCCTGGGTGCGTCATAGCGACTGGTTGTGCCACTGTTTGGTCGATTTGCATATTAGCCTTTTATTATGCAGAGTATTTACAAATCTAAATATTATTTCACTATCTATATGAAAGTTAATCTTAATTGGCCAGTCTTCTTCCAATCTTTTACTCTCCATTTGACCCTTAAAAAAAAGACAATCAATTAACTTTGTTAATATATCATTCATATCTGGTTTCCCTAATCAGGAATCCAAATAGTTTCTTATTCTCTGCCCTCCATATGCCCCTCTATCATTTCACTTAACCTCCTGTTCTCTCCAGAAGGATTATTAATGCCATCCTCATCACTCTGACACAGAAAAAACACACACTAACCTGGAGTTGTTTGACATAGTTCCCAAACTGGAATACCTCTTCCCAGTGTCATTCAACTTCCAACCATCCACCCAAAGCTCAGTTCAAAATCTATTAGTCTCCACAATGCCCATTTCTATACCTAACACTTAAAATATAATCCAGCCGGGACCGGTTTGGCTCAATGGATAGAGCGTCGGCTTGGGGAATGAAGGGTCCCAGGTTTGATTCCGGTCAAGGGCATGTACCTTGGTTGCGGGCATATCCCCAGGAGGGAGTGTGCAAGAGGCAGCTGATCGATGACTCTCTCTCATCGATGTTTCTAACTCTCTATCTCTCTCCCTTCCTCTCTGTACAAAAATCAATAAAATATATTAAAATATAATCCAAACTGTTGACTGACAGGCCACACGTGACTAATAGGCCCAAGTTTTGTGTTGTGGTGTTTTAAATGAAATTTTATCCCATTGACAAAACTTAAAAAGGGGAGATATCACTTTAAAAAACAACAACTGTATTTCCAACTTTCCTTGAAAAAACTGGGTGCTATGGCAACCCTGGGATACACAGTCACAATGAGCTGTACTGAGCAGCAGATGAACCCTTTTTGAATGGCTACTAGATGTGAAGTCTGGCAATGACAGACCACTGCTTGATTTATGTGACTGTACCTGTAGCACTGCAATCATTTCAGAAATACCTGACCATCTGTCAAGCACTAGAGTTACAAAAATACAGCCTCTCCCCCACAACCTACCTTAGTGGAAAAGGCAGAGAGACAAGCAATTAGGATACATGAGATAAGGGCTGTGATAAGGGAAGTAAAGGGCACATAATACATGGCTATGATATCTAACTCTATCTATGGGAAGTCAGGGGACACCCCTCAGAGAAAGTGACAGCTAAACTGATCTTTAGCAGTCACAAAAATTAACAAGGAAGAGATCAGGGAAAACAAAATGCCAGAGAGAGAGAGAAAAGAGCCTTTGTCAAGACCCTGAGGGGAGACAAAGTATCCAAGAAAGTTACATCAGTTCAATTTGGCTACAGCCATCACCCAACCTCAAAAGCAGGTGTCAAAGAAAAGTTTAATTGAAAGGGCCGGAGGGAAAAGCCAAGTGTTAGTTCAAGTCAAGAGATGAAGTAGAATTTCCATAGTGACGGAACATGTAAGAGTTCGTTAAGCAGGGAAGAGAGGTTTCAAAGGGCACAGCTGTGTTGAGAGATGAAATGTAGGAGAAAAGGAGAGAGAAGCAGGGATAGTCTAAACCAAGAGAGGGGAGGCACAAAGCAGCACGGGGATGAGAGTGCAGTAGCATAGAAGACCAAAGGGGCTTACATCTCGGGCGGTAACCAAGGATAACGGGGATGTGGAGCATGGTAGTTTTGGCTGGCCACAAGTTTGGCAAGAGAATTAGTCCCAGCGGTCCCCTGGTGGACGCGGAGGCATTCAGGCCTCTCAAAATTCAGCTGCGTCCTGGCTGGATGGCACTTCGGTCTCTTTGTAAGACATCGGCTTCAGTCTGGCTTGTGCCGGCTCCAGGAGAGGCTCTGGGTTCCAGGCTGCTGCCACGCAGGCTCCCATGGAGTGGTTAGAGGCCTGGTCTGTGTGTGCTGGTGGGTAGAAGTTTAGTATAAACTATCTTGTATTATTTTCTGATTTTTCTGTAGGAATGATGGGCCTGCATACATCCTCTTAGAAAAAAAAAAAAAAAAAAGCAGTCGTGTGTGCCCATTATAGATTTACAGGAAGAAAAAAAGGGTGCCAAGAAGTTCAACATGTGTCCATACCAGTATTCAAGAGGAGTCATTCCCAAATCCAAGTCCCCCCAACTAGATTAAGATATCCGCTAGAGGAAAGAGGGGGGGGAAAAAAATGCCTGTTTTGCACTTTTTTGTGGCTCTCAAAAGTGCCTAACAGCAAACTGGATACGCCGAACACATTCAATAAAATTTACCGACTTCCTAGCATTTCTGGCGTCATGGAAGTTACCTCGTTCAGCCCCCTTTGGCATATTAAGGCGCTAAAGAGACGCGAACTGTATCTCAGACTTCTTGCTTTTTTTTTTTTTTTTTCTCCCAAACTCCAGTGTCTGTCTGTTCCCCCCTCAACCGCAGAGGCAGAAGTGCTCCCCGATCCCAATGCAGCGGGAGACTCCCGAGTCCCGCCACGGAAAACACCCGCCCGCCCGCCTGCCCGCCGCCACTCCCGCGAGGCCCCCCAGCCCCGGCCCCCCCTCCGGCCGCCGCCCCCTCGCACAAAGGGAAAGAAAACACGCTCACCAACTCGGGGCCGCCGGGAGGATCGGTGGATGTGGTAGTCCGCTCGTCGCCGTTCTCGGGCAGGCACTTCCGGCGCGCGCATGACGTCAGCCGAGCGCCCGCCTCCGGGCCTGCGCCCGGGCCTCCGGTCAGCCGGGAAGAGGCTTTTCATTCACCGGAGCCGCCTTCTCGTCCGCGGCGCCAGGTCCTTCCCAGTTCCCGCGATGCCGAGGCCGCTGCGAGGGGCCGGGAGTCGTCGGGGATAAGCCTCCCCCCCCCCCCCCCCCCCCGGAGCCGAGGGCTCGCGCTCTGCCGACCGGCCGGGCCCGCCCCACGGGAAGGTAAACGCCTCGTCCGCGGCGTCCTGTCCTCCGGCCAGCCCCTCCCCGACCCCGCAGCCCGCAGGGACCGGCCTCTGCGGACCTTTTGATTCCCGGACCGTGGCCGTTAGCTGGCTGCCTGCGCAGGGCTCGCCGGGACGGCTAACGCGTGTCAGATGGGAGACGTTGTTTTCAGAAGAGATCCATCGCGGCCGAGTGTCTGAAGCGGCCTAAGTGCGTTCCCCGGAGCATCTTCCCCAGCATCTGCGGGAGTTGGCTCTCCTTCGAATCCGACTTGTGCCCTTTGTGAGCGTTCGGAGCCCCCTCCTTAAAGATACACCACACACGATTCTTAATTCGAAAATCTGACCGTGGTTGGGCCGGATAGAACTTTCAGGAAGTTTGCTGAACTTTTTTTTTTTATGTGCATCAAAATGTGGGGCTAAAATTTCCTCTTAATGTAAGGTAACCAGGCGTCCCGCTTTTGGCGGGACCGTCCCGATTTTTAACCATGTGTCCCGCGTCCTGCAGCGTTTTAAAAAAGTCCTGATTCTTTCCAAAAATCGGAACTTTTTTAAAACGCCGCGATCACATGGTTAAAAATCGGGACGTCTGGTCACCTTATTAATGCCATTCCAGAGAAAAATAATTAAAGATAACCAGAAAGGTACCCAACCAAAGTATTAGTGGAAATCAATGGCTTAAGTTCTTTCTGAGTTCCCAGGCTCTTTCTGCTGTGTGTATGCGAAGTATTATGCATATTTGAAAGCACTTTTTGCTCTTTCTTTGGGGAAAATTAGTAATGTCAGAGTTTTTCTCTTTTTTTAGATATATTTTTTATTTCAGAGAGAAAAGAGGAGGGAGAGATAGAAACATCAAGGATGACAGAGAATCGTTGATTGGCTGCCTCCTTCACAGCCCCCTCTGGGGATTGATCCCACAGCTCAGGCAGGTGCCCTTGACCAGAATCAACCTGGGACCCTTCAGTCCAAATGCTCATACTCTACCCACTGAGCCAAACCAGATAGGGCCAGAGTTTTTCTCTTATCTGTTTAAATCGTACTTCATTCACACTATAGGCCAGCACTAAAAGGGTTAATGTGAAGAATCCACTTGAAATAGGACCAGAAAACTCTTTTACTAGTAAGTGGTGTCTGGAGAAAAGGAATTCCTTAATTCACCCAACTGGGAGTCATTAACTATTACTAAAAAGTAAGGAAGATGTATGAATCTGGCATAATTAAGTCAGTGATTTAATTTGCTTGTATTGGGTTTTACTTGGAATGAAGAACATCCTGGCTTAGATTGCTTTTGTATCTGTTTTCTTTCTTAGAAATGAGTGGTGGATTGGCCCCAAGTAAAAGTACAGTGTATGTATCCAACTTGCCCTTTTCCCTGACCAACAATGACTTATACCGGGTAAGTTTTATTAAAAGTACTATTATCTTCTGAATTATCAATTTGAGAAACAATTGTAGCTAAAGCAAACAGTTATCCTTGCTAAAATTCTTAATAAATACATTGCAGTGCCTGTGCTGCAGATGGGTGTTTGAGAAAAACTGGAAGGAATAATATGAATTCTTTCTTCCAAGTGGGCCCTCTTTCTCTGTGCTACTTGAGGTAGATATTAAGTAGAGAGATGCTGCACAGATAGTATATATTGCTTGATTAATTACTTAAGAGAGTTTTAAACCCAAAGAACAGAGGAGGAAACTTTAGCTTCCTTCCTTGTTACAAAATAGAGACATTTCTGTCCTTATTGAATACTTAGTATATGCTGCATACTCTTAGAGATACTAGGAACACATCAACAAACAAAAACATGAAAACTCCCTCTTGGTATTCACAATAAAAAGGTAGACAATGTAAAATATAAAAAAGTCTAATGATGTTATTTATTAAATACAAAGTTAATGCTAAGATGCTAGGTGCTAAGGAGAAAAATAAAGCAGGAAAGGGGGGTTATTAAATGTTAGGTTTGGAATGGAGGTGAAATTTTACATGAGTGGTCTAAACTCTTATTGAGAAGGTGACTTTTCAAAAAAGACCTGAAGGAAGTAAAGGCAGTTGTCTAGGGCATGAGCTTTTCAGGCACAGAGTAAATCAAGTGAAGAAAAGAGGAGGAGCTGTCAAAGGTAAGCCTATTGCAGGGATCCCTTATAGGGCCTACACAGATGATGGTAAAGACTCTGAGTGAAATGAGAAGCCTTTTGAAAGTGTTATGTGGAAAGCTGTCTCTATTGGCCTTCAGAATGCAATGTGGCTACATAGCAATCCAGTTATATCACATTCCATCATTACCCAAGTTACAAATAGGACTCAAAATTTATTACCATTGATTGCATATATTAATCTATTCAAAAACACTTTTCTAATAAGCGATACATAATAGGAACTATCTATATAGACTGATTGTCCAGATTATTATGATCTCTGAATGCATAATAATCTGGCCACTCAGTGTATATAGGATTATATATTGTATATATAATCCTATATAATAAAAAGCTAATATGTAAATTGTCCCCTCAACCAGGAGTTTGACCAGCAGTCCTGCCAGCCAACCACCCATGTCCCCTCCCCCTGGCCAGGCTGGCCAGACCCCACCCATACAAGAATTCACGCACTGGGCCTCTAATATATATATTAGAGTGGCCAGATTATTATGCATTCAGAGATCATAATAATCTGGCCACTCGGTGTATATAAAAGGCTAATATGCAAAGTGTCCCCTTGGGAGATCGATCTAGAATTTGATCACTCTCTTTGACAAGTGCTGACCTCCAGGGGGAAGCGAGGAACAAAGAAAGGCCCTGGCTGACAACCGGAGGCCCCAATCAGTCCTGATGGCCAGACAGGCCTCAGGACCATACCCGTGCATGAACTTCTGCACCAGGCCTCTAGTTACTATATAAGTATTGACTGAAGCAATAAGTGAAATTGTGAGATTGCTTAGGGTGAAGATATAGATGTAAAAGAGAAGAAAGGGCCAACTCTATTCACTAACACATTAAGTGGGGGAAGGGGGAGAGCAGAAAGATTTGGGGAATGGAATTTTCATTACAGGAGCTTGTTTTATGTTTTATAAGCAATCTAAGGATCTGTCTTTGAAACAATCATTGCTTGATTAGGTGGGAGCAGGCTGGGAATCATGATATTGTGCAACATTGTCATTTGAAATACAAGGTTTCTCTGGAGCTGTGGTGGAGTTGATAGTTGCCATGGATATACCACAGTAACACGGCAACTGTATAATGTGTGTGCCGTCAGTCTACCACACCTGAAGAGTGGGTTTTTTCCTCTGTATGTATTTGTTTGTCAGAATTTAGAAATTAAGACAGATACCTGGACTCCAATAACAAAATTAAAAATATTATTCTAAAATAATTTATCTTACAGACTAAAGGCTAAAATTTTTCATAAACTATAACAAAGAATGTGGCAAATGTATACAACCTGAAAATTTAATGTTTTTTGTGTGATTTTTAAATTAAATTGTAAATTGCTATGTGGTATTTTATTTCAGATATTTTCCAAGTATGGCAAAGTTGTAAAGTAAGTATTCACATAAAATTTTGAAAGTTCATTTAAAAGTTTATCTTAATTTAGTTCTCCATTATTTTTTAATTATATAGTCAATTAACTATATTTTATAAAACAAATTTTTGATATAACAAAGTAAATAAGAATACTATTGTTAACATTTTTACATATATATGTCATTTTTCTATTTATGTAAACATGTATAAACTATTTTCTTGAAAGTCAATTAAATTCTGGCAACTGCCTTTTAAGGTAAATACTGTTATTATCCTGATGTTATTATAAATGACAAACTGAAGCACACACACAGTAAACCTAAAATGATATTGCTAGTTTGTGGTGGAGACTTTAAATCCAACAGTTTGATTCCAGAGCCTATTCCCTTAACTCTACCATTACCTTTTCTTTTTTGTCCCTGTCAGAATCTCCAAATGAATTTCCATACAAATATATATCTCAGAGAATGCTATGAAGTTAAAGATACAGTTATAAGCACCCAGGACAGGGAAGACCTGATTTAGTCTAGGGAGAGTAGAGTTACCTGTCAGGATCCATTGAGTTGAAAACTAAAAGTAAGAGTTAAGTAGGCAAGGCAAATGGAAGAAACATTTTCAGTAGAGGAAACTTCTTGTGCAAAGGCCCTGTGGCAAGAGAAAATAAAGTGACATCATGAAACAGAAAAAGCCAATATGACCAGAGTTGAGTGAACAAGAGGGAGAAACGTAAGTCCAGAGATAGAAGCAGGTTCCTAATCTTGCTTTTTGGCCATGTTACAAGATACTTGGTTTTCATCCTAAAAATAACAGGAATCCACTAAAGAATTTTAAATGAGGGAATGACATTGTTTTACTGCCTTTACATTATCAATGTTTAGTGCCTGGACTTACAGCTAATTGAGTAACTGAATGACAACATGAATAAACAAATAGATATACTTTTTTGAGAAACTAATTTCCCATTTGCATCTATCTTTTTGTTTTAACATATTGAACTAGGCTTCATAGAAACAGCATTAAAGGAGTTTTTATTATACTACTGAAGGAAAATTCATGGAAGAGTAAACCTTAATTTTCCCAGCTGCGGGCTCCGGCTTCCTTCTGGCACCAGGGACCCGGGCTTCCCTCTGGCTGCCAGCAAGCACCTGATACCCAGAGTGACTTCCCTCGGGCTGCCTGCAGGCACCTGGGACCCGGGCTGCTTGCCTCCTCCATCTACCAGCAGGCACACAGGACCCAGGCCAGCTTCCCTCCACCCCAGCTTTGTCAGGAAGGATGTCCAGAAGACGTCCAGTCTAATTAGCATGTTACCCTTTTATTATAGATGAGATGAGGCATGGTTTTTACATAACTAGATTTCTGTAGAGGCTAGCAGAAAGATGGAGAAAGTATTTTTAGTTAAAGAAAACAGTGTGCCGGGCCAGCACAGCCAAGGGTTCAGCGAGCCTGAGGTGTGGTAAAGGATTGAAGACCGGCAAAGAGAATAGCTGGGTCTAGGTGGATCTTCTGTGCCCGGGTAAGGCCACAGAGAGATAGATCCAGATGACAAGCTGAGCCTTTATTTTATAGCCAAAGGTAGTGCTCACCAAAGTTACAGTGTTCTTGTGAGTTTCACTTGTTTTGGCAGCACTTGCTGCATCTCCCATAGCCCATTAGCTACCCAGGGATGATCTAGGCATTGTCAATAAGGTCAACCTTAATTATCCTCTCAGCTCAGACTTGTTTATGGCTTTGCTAACAGGTCAGTCCGAGACTTAACCCTCTAACCACTCAGTACAAAGTAGTTCACCTTATACCCTATCCCAGCCTTGGAATCGGTCATTTCTCCAAAGAACCCTGTTGAACATTGTCTTTTAAACTATATTTAATGACAAAAAGGATTAAGAATGTGAAAGGGATCAGGAGAAAAAGCAGACTCTTATCACGTAGGTACTTTGGGTGTTATGGTTAAGAACCACAGAGCTGGAGAGTCTTTAAAAGAATTTTAAGAATGTAGTTAGAGTCTAAAACCTAGAAAAAATAATTTTGCTTTTTGTGTTAAGAGAATACATTGTTTTTTTCCTATAAGACTTAGTAGAGAAGAGGAATTATGCTGAGTCTTCAGAATTCCATTGTCTCTGTAATCTCTGCTTCATCCTTAAGCCTCTGATTACAGTTTGATTTATCAGACACTTTTAATCATACATGTGTTCACTAGTATTAATTATACTTTCTTATTTCCATTCTTGATACCCCATAACTTTGCACAGATAAGCTATTTGTCAAATGTATTTATTTCTCTTACTCTGTAAATGTTTTATTAAACCTTTTTGAATAATACTTTTTCCAAGTTATTAATATCTTTTATTTATTTCTATCTCGTTATTTTTAATTATTTGTTTATGCTTTTAAGGGTTACTATAATGAAAGATAAAGATACCAGGAAGAGTAAAGGTGTTGCATTTATTTTGTTTTTGGATAAAGACTCTGCACAAAATTGTACCAGGGCAATAAACAACAAACAGGTAAGCCTTTCATTCCCAATAAGGTTTTTAACCCAAAAGGCTTTGTGCTCATCCAGGCCAAAAATATGGGAATGTAGTGGGTGATCAAGTCTTACAGGTATCAATAGGTTCTGAGGTTATTTAACTTGTAGGGGGAAAAAAAGATGCCAAAACTGTACTGGGTTCCCAAAACATTGGTGGAATAAGGATGTAAGAGTCCATTCTACAGAACAGAATTTGTCACATCTAAGTAGGCAATTGCTAAAATAATCTAAAAAATAAAATTGAAGGTTTGAGCCGAAACCGGTTTGGCTCGGTAGAGCGACGGCCTGCGGTCTGAAATGTCCCAGGTTCGATTCCGGGCAAGGGCATGTATCTTGGTTGCGGGCACGTCCCCAGTAGGGGATGTGCAAGAGGCAGCTGATTGATGATTCTCTCTCATCGATGTTTCTAACTCTCTATCCCTCTCTCTTCCTCTATGTGAAAAATCAATAAAATATATATATTTTTTTAAATCAATAAATATATATTTTTTTAAAAACTGAAGGTTTGAGGAAATGGGATCAGTGACTACATCTTCTGCATTTACCTTTTCTCTGATTTAGTTATTTGGTAGAGTGATAAAAGCAAGCATTGCTATTGACAATGGAAGAGCAGCTGAGTTCATCCGAAGACGAAACTACTTTGATAAATCTAAGTGTTATGAATGTGGGGTGAGTATATCTAAAACTTAAAGTAATTTTCTATAGTTTACAGTACTTTCACACCAGTGTTTTATTTGTGCTCTTCTAAACTTCTGGATGGCTAAAACCAGTTTATGAAAGTTGTTTTCATTTGGGACTCTACTCATCTAAGCAAACTCAATTGAAATTGAGTATGTAAAGATAACCTGAGTTGAGTGATACAAAGTGACAATTTCTCCAGTCTTTGAAAACTGTTAGGTTAAAAAGTATTGACTAATTACTTATATTAGTGTCTTGAAAGATTTTAGTGACCCATAAATATGTATTAATAGGATATTGCCTGTTTCTATAATATTTTGCCAATTTAGTGTCTGCCCCCTGGTGATCAATGCGCATCATAGCAACTGGTCGACTGGTCATTCCAGTTATTCTGGTTGTTTTGTCTTACCAATCACTTAGGCTTTTATGTATATACTAATAGCCCGGTGGATAAATTTTTGAATGGGGGGGGAGGGGCCCTTAGCCTGGCCTGCACCCTCTTCAATCTGGAATCCCTCAGAGGATGTCCGACTGCCAGTTTAGGACCAATCCCAGCAGTCAGACATCCTTCTCATAATCCAGGACTGCTGGCTCCTAACCGCTCACCTGTCTGCCTGCCTGATTGCCCCTAAACTCTCTGCCTGCCAGCCTGCTCGCCTCAAACTGGCCCCAACACACACACACACACACACACACACACACACACACCCCGCCACCAGCCTGATCATCCTCAACGTGCACACCCCCCTCTCCAATCACCCACGACTGCCCTTCCCCGGCTTCTAACTGCCTCTCCCTTGGCCCCGCCACTATGGCTTTGTCCAGAAGGTCTCCTTGAAGTTCTCCTAGTCTAATTAGCATATTACCCTTTTATTATTCAGATAGAGGCCTAGTGCACAGGTGGGGGGTGGCTGGTTTGCCCTGAAGGGTGTCCTGGATCAGGGTGAGGGTTCCCTTGGAGGGTGGGGTGGCATGGGTGAGGATGGGGGCAGTTTGCAGCCACACCCCAATGGGGTGAGGGTCCCCACTGGGAGAGGCGTGGCCAGCCTGGGTGAGGAGTTGAGGACCATTTGCAAGCCACTCTTTCAGCGGCTGCCAGGAAATTCAAGCCGCCTACACTCTCCAGCCTGCTGCATAGCCGCCGCCCACAGGCCCCTCCTTTGGCTGCTGACCCAGCCAGGTGGGAAGCTTGGCTTCCTCCGTCGCCTGGGGCAACCCAAGCTGCCTGCCCTCTCCAGCTGGCTCTGTGGCCACTGCCATCTTTGTCCTGCTAATTTGCCTATTCCCTCCTGATTGGCTGTGGTTTTTATGGAGTGATGGTCAATTACCATATTATTCTTTTATTAGATAGGATAGATGGTCAACCTAACACTGTCAAATATGAATACAATGCAAACCACAAATGTAATTTTAAATTTTCTAGTAGCCACATTGAAAAAGTAATAAAATTTAAATCTTTTACTTTATCCAATATACTACATCTAAAATGTAAAATATTATCATTTGAACTATTGTAATTAATGTTTTAAAATTAAGATATTTTACATTCTTTTTTCTTATTGTCTTCAAAATCTTGTATATAGTTTACCCTTATAATGCATATCATTTTAAACAGGTTCTCACTAACCAATAAAGAATTATGGTTAGTGGTTGCCATAATTGGACAGGGCAGGGATAGTCTAAATATGAAAAAAAAAAAAAGAAATTAATAGGAAAAGTGAGGAAACTAAATTTGATTTTGAAACATAATTTTAAGCAATATCTTGGGAGTTAGGAGTAGTTTTGTCCCAATTTTGTCAAATAATAACTTAAAATGTAAACATCAAGGTAGATAGTCCATTTAAATTTTGAGTTTTTTAGCTTGCATTTAAAATGTTTGGAGGAAAAAAAACTTATTTTACTCTTTGCTCTTTGTGGACTTCTAAAATACTTTCTTATTGTTAAAATAGCTTATTAGGAGTTAAAATTTCCTTCTAAATATTAACGGGGTTTGTTAATTTCTTCATGTATGTTCCCAGTGTGACTATATCTTTTTTTATTTTTTTTAAGTTCTACCACCTTTTAGTCTTTGGGTATCAGGCAAGTTTCTATTAATAACAGAACAAATAAAATATTTTTCCTTTCCTTCTTCATGGGAAACAAAAGGAAAGTGGACACTTAAGTTATGCCTGTCCTAAAAATATGCTTGGCGAACGTGAACCTCCAAAGAAGAAAGAGAAAAAGAAAAAAAAGAAAATTCCTGAACCAGAAGAAGAAATGTATGTATATCCACTCTTACTACCGTAAATACATTATAATGTTACTTCAGTCTTTTACTATTATTAAATGCATTCTGATTTTTTTTTTTTTAATTTAGTGAAGAAGTACAAGAAAGTGAAGATGAAGGAGAAGATCCTGCTCTTGACAGCCTCAGTCAGGCCATAGCTTTCCAGGTACTAAGTAGTTCTTTTAAAAGGCACCATGCCATAGCAGCCTTTGGTTAATAGTTTTATATTCCTTGCTTGCTTGCTTTATTAATCATCTCCTCATTCTGGCAATCTGTCTTTTCCTTTTTCCTTCTAAACTTCAGGAGACTGGCTACTTTTCTAAGGTCTTTATAAACAGTAAGGTGGAAAAATTCCTATTGGCTCCTAGATTTTAAAGGCTCTATAACACTTTTAATATCGTATAATTTGTTTTCATTATAAAATTGAGCAGAACTATTTTATTAAAGTGAGTTTAGCCCAACAGAAGAGATTTTATTAAAGATTGAAAAGATATCTTTGAAAGAAACTTCGCTTCAAAACAAAACCAAAAACATATTTTTGACCACTAAAGACCCTAATACAAATATATGAAACATTTTTTTCAAGGATACATAATCCTAATTTTTATATAACCAGATATTTTGTTTGAATGTAGTTGACAGATGGTAACTGTATTTGTCAACTTACTTTTCCTTTTAGTAACTAATTTCATATTTTATAATTCCCACCTTAAGCAGGAATGGAAAATAGGCTTCATTTACTGTGCCTGTTAATTAGTAGAAATTGACTGAAATAATTTTGAGTAACATGGTGAAACTGGAATATATTGAGACTGAGGGAGGAGCATCCTGATGGAGTAGAATTGTCTTCATGGACTGCGAGGGTGGAAAGTGTTGGCACATGTGGTGTGTTTTTGCATTGTTTTAAATAAATGTACCATAAATAATATTAAACAGGTTCCTGGTTTTGTTTGTTTTCTTACAGCAAGCCAGAATTGAAGAAGAACAAAGAAAGTGGAAACCCAGTTCAGAGGGTCCCTCAACCTCTGATGATTCAAGACGCCCAAGGATAAAGAAAAGCGCATATTTCAGTGATGAAGAAGAACTTAGTGATTAAAATTATATTTATTATGTAAATATTAAAAAAAATGTTTTTAATCTTAGAGTACCAAGTTCAATTGGGACTAAAGATTGTTTTTTAGAATTTGACCATACAAATACTTAATGCCAAATAATTTTTTACTATAAAATAGTTTACCCTGGTCTGACAGCTGGGTTGGTTAGAGCATCATCCCAATACACCAAAGTTGCGGGTTCAGTCCCCAATCAGGGCACATTTAAGAATCAAACAATATATGCATAAAAAAGTGGAACAATAGCCTGGCTGGCATGGCTCCGTGGTTGGAGCATTGACCTAGGAATCAAGGAGGTCAGGATACATGCCCAGAATATGGGCTCAGTCCCCAGTGTGAGGCTTGCAAGAGGCAGCCAATCAAGTCTCCCTCATCATTGATATTTCTATCTCTCTGTTTCTCTGTCTCTAAAATCAATAAATAATTTTTAAATTACTATAAAATAGATATTGAAAAGAAATTTTAAAGTATCATGCTTCTATCTTGCCTGAGCAGAGTATTAATAATAAAGATTTGTTAATCATTAATCTTGAAAATAATATATTTGAATAAAAAAGAGAACAATATATAATAATGCTATTGTCATCCCAAGAAATAAGGTATAAAAAAGATTTGTCTGAGGGTTCATTAAAAATATTTATTAGTCTTGATTAGTTTATATGAGGACTTTTAAAATAAATTTCACCAGCAAGAAAAAAACCTTCATAAAGATTGGAAAAAGTTGAATGATTTATTGTTATTAAATATTTAATTTTTTTCAAGAGAATTTTGTTTTTAATACGGGTGTTTGTCACCTTATTTCTTATAGCTTGATCCTAATCTGGATACATTGTAATTTCCCCTAAAATATAAAGTAGCTCTAAAATGCTTATCACCAAACAGTGTTAATTTACCTTGCCTATGGGACCCAAGTTACATTTCCCAAAAGCAGCTAACTTAAGGTGTTTCTTTTCATATGTACATATATTTTTCCTAAATAAGATGCATATATCTTTTCACTTAATTCATAAAAGGATAGAGAACTTTTTTTTATCTTCTGTATTCCCCACTGCCTTCCTCCATTTCTCAGGATGGTTATGTTAAAATTGTTGGTTAAGTCCATTTTTATTTTATGACACACTGTAAATACTGTTCACTTCTGAGCTAACAAGTGTGCAGTTACATTTTTGCAGAGTTAATTATTGTTTCTTTTTTTTAAAATATATTTTATTTATTTTTTACGGAGAGGAAGAGAGAGGGATAGTCAGAAACATCGATGAGAGAGAAACATCGATCAGCCGCCTCTTGCACACCTCCTACTGGGGATGTGCCTGCAACCAAGGTACATGACCTTGACCGGAATCGAACCTGGGACCTTTCAGTCTGCAGGCCGACGCTATATCCACTGAGCCAAACCGGCTTCGGCTATTGTCTCATTTTTTATGTATTATATATCTTTTTATTTATGACTAAATCTGCCCAAACCTTCTGCAGATAGTTATATGGGAATGGAATTATGGAGCCTTTAATTTTCTACTTTTGTATATTTCTACAGTGTTTGAATGCTCTTAAAAAGAACAGCCACTTATTAGTTTTCTTAAATTACTAAAAGCAATAAAAATATTTGCACCTTGCCAAAATCAGTTTGGCTCAGTGGATAGAGCTTCAGCCTGTGGACTGAAAAGTCCCAGGTTCTATTCCAGTCAAGGGCATGTACCTTGGTTAAGGGCACATCCCCAGTAGGGGGTGTGCAAGAGGCAGCTGATCGATGTTTCTCTCCCACCGATGTTTCTAACTCTGTTCCTCTCTCTTCCTCTCTATAAAAAATTAATAAAATATTTTTTGAAAATGGGTGAGGATTGGCAATCCCCATATCTTTAAATAAATAAATAAATAAATAAATAAATAAATAAATAAATAAAATAAAAATATATGCACTTTGAAAACTACACAGGCAATGAAAGTGTTACCCGCTTGCCAGCAAAGAATCAAATTGCAGTGAAGTAAGTGTGCATATATGTGGAACACAACAGTGATAATGAAATATATAGGCATTAAGATGTATGAATAGTAAAACCTTGGCTACCATATCTAGAGAAGTCATGAAGTACTTGAAGTTTTGCATATAATATACCATAAATAAGTCATTTAGACTCAAATCATATATAGCAGAGTGATAGGTGACAGGAAGGGCCAAGGAATCTCATAACAGCCATTCAGCTTCAGAAATGAGTGAATGGGTTAAAATGCCCCACATAGAATAAGATTGTTCTTTTACAATGTTTCATCTATTTCCAGGTTGGAAATTTATGCTGTCAAAAGAACCTTCAGCTCTCCTTTCATCATTGTCAAAGGCAGAATACCAAGGCAGCTGAGCAGGAGGCACAGAGAAAATATAGATGCACTGCCAAACAAAAAGAAGCCATTTCCCATAATAAGCAATTTCACAGACTATTTGCAGAAAATATGGAAAAATGGTTAAAACCTTTTTGGAAAGCAATTCAATAAGCACTGTTACTAAAGTAACAATACAAACAATTACAGTCAGAGGCAACCCTTAGTCCACAGAATGGGTTTAGCCACTATCAATTACTTTTTTAAAATATATTTTTTTATTGATTTCAGAAAGGAAGGAAGAGAAACATCAATGATGAAAGAGAATCATTGATCAGCTGCCTCCTGCACACCTAATGGGAATCGAGCCCAAAACGAAGGCATGTGCCCTGACAGAACCATGACCTCGTTCATTGCTTGATGCTCAACCTCTGAGGCATGTCAGCCAGACCACTACCAATTAGTTTTAAAAATGTGTGTGTGTGTGTATTATTGATTTCAGAGAGGGAGAGATAGAAACATTAATGAGAGAGAATCAGTGATCAGCTGCCTTGTGCACACCCCACACTGGTGATCGAGCCTGCAACCCAGGCATGTGCCCTTGACTGGAATCAAATCTGGACCCTTCAGTCCACAGGCTGTCACTCTATCCACTGAGTCAAACCAGCTAGGGCTCAATTACTTTTAAAATTGCTTTTATCAGATCCAAATTTTAAGAATCTTTAGGTATAGATAAAATCAATAGGTATAGATAGAATCAATTAGTAATTTTAGTTAAGATCTGGTAACCTAGAGTAAGCTGACCAGAAATATAACAGCTTTTATACAATTTGATCTTGAGCAAATTCCTTTCCCAGAGAGTTGCATTTCTCATCACATCTTTTCAGATGCATGGCTCTATGCAAAACACGAAACAATTTATAAAGGAGATATTATAGTTTGGTCAAGATTTTATGAGTATACTCAAAATGAGTTAAATCCAAAAACAGGCTTTTAACAAATTATCAGAATTTGTATTACATATTTAGCCCTGTGCATCAGGCACTGCCTTAAATATATCTATACTTAATAAAAGGGTAATATGCTAATAAGACCAGACATCCTTCTAGACAAAGCCACAGTGGTTGGGGGCTAAGGCAGAGGCGATTAGGGGTAATCAGGCTGGCAGGGGAGCAAAGTTAGGGATAACCAAGCCAGCGGAGCAGAGCAGTTAGGAGTGACCAGGTTCGCAGGCAGAGGCAGTTAAGGGCGATTGGGCAGGTAGGAGAGCAGTTAGGGGCAATCAGGCAGGCAGGTGAGCTGTTAGCAGGCAGGTGAGCTGTTAGGAGCCAGCAGTCTCAGATTGTGAAAGGGGTATCCAACTGCCAGTTTAGGCTCAATCTTTGGAGGACATCAAGCAGTTGGAAATCCCCCAAGTGTTCCTGTATTGGAGAGGGTGCAGGCCAGGCTGAGGGACCACACACACACACACACACACACACACACACGTACACCTGCACAAATTTTGTGCACCGGGCTTTAGTGTGTATATATATAAAAGACTATTATGCTAAATGTCCCTCTGGCCATCCGACGGGTCACTATGATGTGCACTGACCACCAGGGGGCAGACAGTCAATGCAGGACCTGCCATGACACACTGGCTATTTACAAAGAAACAGCACTGAGGACCTCGTGCCAACAAAGCAACACTCTGCTTCCCCCATGTGAGACACAGGCCCCAACACACCACCAAATCACAGTAAATGCTGTCAAGACCCCTCTGACATGAATGTGTCCCCCTGCCCAGCCCAGCCTGGAAACAGTTGCTGTGGGCTCTGGGTAATGACATCACGTAGCAATGGCTGGCTTCCTCTCCCTAGCAACTAGCCTCCTTGGAATTCTTCAGCCCAGGAATACAACTTGCTTTATTGCCAGGTGCAAATATTTTACACTTCAACCAAATGTCTGTGAAGCATTTTCATCTCATTTGATCCTCACAGAAGTCCTGGTATAGGTAGGTAGAAGACTCAGTAGAATCCAATTTTCATTAGCCAGAAAACAAAGATTTAAAAAATTTAGAAACTTGACCCGACTGAAAACAAGTAAGAAATGGTGGACCTTGAAAATGACTTGAGGTTTTCTACTGCACAGAATGTAGTCAAACACTGCTGCAGTTAAATATTTTACCCTTTGTTCTCCTTGTGTGATTTACAATAATTAATCTGCTTCATGTTAATATTTACTGCTGTGTTGCTGACAATTACCTGAAAGAGAAGTTGGGGTGCTTCACTGGGCTGGATAAAATTTAGCTAAATCAGAAAGCAAATCTAATTAAGCAAGTTTATTCACTTGCTATATATAAAAGGCTAAATTGACTCACACATGCGATAAAGCCTCACTGGCGCCAATCGCACAATGACAACCGATCTGTCATTGTTGATCATGAATTTGGTTGACACTTCTATTATAGAGGGCAAATAGCTATATTAAAATATTTTTTCTAATTAATTTTCTTTCAATGTGCATGAATCCTTGCACCAGGCCACTAGAGAAAAATATAAACTAACAATCCCTTTTAAATAGGCATTATTTTCATCATTATATAGATGACAAAACTGAGGCACAGAGAAGTGGAGTAATATAACACAAGTCACACAGTCCATAAGCACAAAAAGGCCTGCACACCTAG